TCTTCCCCGGCGCTCTATGCTCTCAAAGAACGGCACGGAGGCAGCAAAGCGTAATGCGAGAGGTAAGAAGGGAAGGGCGAGGCCCTTCGCGATTTATGCGGTGACAAGGCGAAACCGCGGGCGACGAAATCGGGAAGTTTCCCAAAAAAATCCGGGCGCGGTTATCCGGATCCGTCTTACCGCCCACGCACACTCTCCTCCTCGTTAATCGCGCGTGTAGGTACCCCCCCGTCGGCTTCCCTCCTCGTTAATCGCGCGTGTGTATCGTCCCTGTCGGCCGACGCCACGTCGCGGCCCAACGCAAGCAGCAGCAGCAGGAGCCGCTTTCGCCTCTCAAAAAGCCGCCTCAAAAGACGCTACCGCCATTAATTAACCGTAGGGAGAGAAATAACCCCCGATTCCTTCCAGCAAAGGAATCGGGCACCCGAGCCCGCACGGTCCGGGGTTCAAGGTGGGCCCTTAGGGTTTCGGACGATCGCCCCAGGCAACAACAGAGCTGGGGGCACCACGGGCGAGCCTACACAAAGCCGAGGCCCAAGCAAGCGTAAACGCTTGGGACGCCTGTGTTGTGTCCGAGACCAGCAGGAGGTCTCCGAATGGGATCCCACCGAGGGAGGCACCGAGCCACCGAGGCCCAGTGAACGGCCTCGGCACCCACTAGAGAAACCCTCCGGTACTCTTGGAGCGCTGCCTCCGGGACCGCTAGCCGACCCCCAATGAACGGGCACGGGCCTCCACTCGGACTTACCCGATAACAGCTCACCGGAAGTGCCATCGCTCGCGCCCACCGAGGGTAGCGTGGCACATTCCACCCTCCTTCCGAGCGTAAAAGGAAGCGCGAGGGTCGAATAAAAAGTCAGGAGAATCCCTGACGGCCCTCTTGCTCCGAGCAGAGGCTAAGGGACTCTTCCTGCAAAACGTTGCCGAGGCCCAGCTGACTTGAGTTCGCACACGAGGGGTCTCGGCAAAACCAACCCTCCTTCCGAAAGCGAAAAGAAAGCGCGAGGGTCGCTCAAAAAGCCGGAAGAACTCCCCGACGGCCCTCTCTGTCTGCAAGTGCAGGCTAGGGAGCTCTTTCGCAAAAGACGCCGAGACCTCATGACCTAGGCTCGCACCCGAGGGGGGCTCGGCGGCAGCCAGACCTCACGCCGAGGGCGAACCAAAAGCCGGGGACCTCGACCGCTCTCTCGCTCCGTGCGAGAGACTCGGGGGCTCCTCCTGCAACTTTGCCGAGACCCAGCGGCTCAGGCTCGCACACGAGTGGGCTCGGCAAACAGCCCCCCCGTCCGAGCGAAAAGGACGGGCGGGGGACGGGCAAAAAAGTCGGGAGGACCCTCGACCGCCCTCTCGCTCCGCAGGCGGAGGCTCGGGGCTCTTCCCGCACCCAAGGTAAAACAAGCGACCCGATCCCGTTACGGTCCAGGGGTTCGAAGGCTGGGCCCTTAGGGGTTTCGACAGCCGCCCCAGGGCAACAGAGCCAGGGGCAACTACGGGCGAGCCTACACAGGCCGAGGCCCAAGCAAGCGAAATGCTTGGGACGCCCTGTGTTGTGTCCGAGACCGGCAGGAGGAGGTCCGAATGGGATCCCACCGAGGGAGGCACCGAGCCACCGAGGCCAATGAACGGCCTCGGCACCCACTAGAGAAACCCTCCGGTACTCTTGGGAGCTGCCTCCGGACCGCTAGCCGACCCTCAATGAACGGGTACGGGCCTCCACTCGGACTTACCGATAACAGCTCACCGGAAGTGCCATCGTCGCATACCACCGAGGGTAGCGTGGCACATTCCACCCTCCTTCCGAGCGAAAAGGAAGCGCGAAGGTCGAATAAAAAGTCAGGAGAATCCCTGACGGCCCTCTTGCTCCGTGCAGAGGCTAAGGGACTCTTCCTGCAAAACGTTGCCGAGGCCCAGCGACTTGAGTTCGCACACGAGGGTCTCGGCAAAACCAACCCTCCTTCCGAGCGAAAAGAAAGCGCGAGGGTCGTTCAAAAAGCCGGAAGAACTCCCGACGGCCCTCTTGCTCGTCTGCGAGAGGCTAGGGAGCTCCTTCAAAAAGACGCCGAGACCCATGACCTAGGCTCGCACCGAGGGGGGCTCGGCAGTCAAACCCTCACGCTGAGCGAGGGCGAACCAAAAGCCGGGGGACCTCGACCGCTCTCTCGCTCCGCGGCGAGAGACTGGGGCTCCCTCCGCAACTTTGCCGAGACCCAATGGTCTTTCCACAACATCGTCAAGGCCCCGCGATCCGAACTCGCACCTACGGACCCGGCAATCACGATCAAAACACCTCACTCAAAAGAGAAAAAAGCCCCTGAAGAAGTGAAATCACTCCTCCAGGGCCTCGGGGGCTACTGTCGGATACCGTGAGAAGGGGTACCCCAAGCAAAATCCAAAAAACGACCGCTTAGATTTCAGAAGACCGAAACCAGCTAAAACGCTGGCTGGCCTCGGCCGATTCTCCGACTCGCCCGAGGCCCCATCATCATCATGGGCCTTGGCCGATTCTCCGACTCGCCCGAGGCCCCATCATCACATGGCCTCGGCCGATTCTCCGACTCGCCCGAGGCCTCATCACCGCTGGGCCTCGGCCGATTCTCCGACTCGCCCGAGGCCTCATCACCGCGGGCCTCGGCCGATTCTCCGACTCGCCCGAGGCCTCATCACCGCGGACCTCAGCCGATTCTCCGATTCGCCCGAGGCCCCCTCACCGCGGGCCTCGGTCGATTCCCCGCCAGAGGCCTCGGCCGAGGCCACCGACCCTCCGTCTCGCGCAAGGCGGGCTCGGCAGCACGCCGCTACCTCTTCCTTCTCCCGTCCTTCTGGCAAAACGTCGTGTCGCGTCAACTCAATAGCTCGCTGCCTCGACAACAGCCGCATGCCCGGCCAAGACAAGACAAAGCAGAATGGCCGATGGGGACAGAGACAGGATCTGCACAGGGTTACCCGCCACAGATTGACCCCTGCACGTGGTTGACGCCCATGCCTCACTGCCGCCAACTCCCTGCTCCAAGGACAACGCAGCATGGGGAGCCACGCGTCGAGCATCTGTGGCCTCGGAATCGCACCTGGGAGCAATAATTCCTCCAAGGCCTCGGCAGCTCGCTCCAGGGCTCGACAGCCCGAGGACCCATGTCCGCCAAAGCCCTCGCGATGGCTTGGCCTCGGCACCCTCTGAGCCACAGCCCCTCACGACGTCGTCACGCGCGATGGCTCTGACGTCCCCGGATCGGGCAGGGGGTTACCCGTCACTATGCTATCCACCGTACACATAGTTGACACCCATGCCTCACTGTGCTGCCCACTCCTGCTCCAAGGACAACGCAGCATGGGGAGCCACGTCTCAGGCCATGTGGCCTCGGAATCGCATACCAGGCCAATAACTCCCCCCAAGGCCTCGACAGTTTGCTTCACGGGCTCGGCAGCCTGAGGGTCCATGACCACCGAGCCCCCCACGATGGCTCGGCCTCGGCATCTGCAGAGCCGCTGCTCCCTACGACGTCATTACACGGCGACCCGCACGTCGCCCGCCATGTCCTCCATCGACTGGAGCCCCACGACGCGCAAGACCGAGTCTGACCAGCATGTCACTTCCGCACGACAAGGACGGGGCCACTCCATCGACCATACCACAACAGTAGCCGACTACAGGGCTCGGACACGCCACCCCATTTTACAGAAGCGCTATGTAGCACCCTGTGCACGATCCCGGTCCTCCCTTAGAGTATAAAAGGGAGGGACTGGGGCCATTTCTAGGGGGAAAAAGAGGAACAAGCCGATAGCACCGCGCGCTCATATGCTGCTTGGGAACAACGCCTCAAGCAGCCCGCACCACACTCGCCGAGACCTGGGGCTAGTTCCCTCTCTCACCTAGCTTGTAACCCCCTACTACGAGCACTCCGGTGCAAGGAATACAAGATCGATCTCTCGGACTGGACGTAGGGCCTCGATTGCCTGAACCAGTATAAACCTTGTGTCTCTTTGCGCCACCATCCGGGATTAGGGGCACGCAGCACAAATTCACTCGTTGGTTGAGGGACCCCCGGTTCCAAAACACCGACACCCTTCATCTATAAAAAGGGAAGCAGGGCACCCCACGGAGGGAGCGATTCCAAGACACATCTAACACATCTGAGTGGCGGAAGGCTTAGGCGCTCGGCAGTAGACAGAGAGCTAAACTAGACTCACTCTTTCCACCAGAGACTTAGGACATTCTTCCTCTCTCGTCTGTTTGTAACCCCTACTACAAACCAAGTGTCGGTAACACGAGCAACAGTAGACTGGACGTAGGGACGTTCCGCATGAACCAGTGTAAGTCCTTGTATCCTCCGAACAAAGCCATCCGAATCAGAAGTCCAAACTAGAAATTTACTGGCGGCGGGCGATTCGAAACACCGACACTGTTCGACCGTTCGGTCCAAAGTGCCGTGCCCGCCCCATTATCTTGTTTTGTTTATTATTGTTGTTTACCACTAGTAGTAATGTACTTTTTGATGAAGTGAGACGAAAGGTACGTGCCATTGTCAAAAGTGTCGGGTGCTCAATACGACAATACCAGTTCTTTGATTTTTTTTTTGGCAAAAACTCAAAATCATACCCTACGGCAAAAATAACAATTCTCTTGGAGTTGCTCTATCAGAACCTGTTTGGAACAAATAATCCGTCATCCGTGCAGTGCACAAGTTTGACAATTTCGGCATCATATCAATGTCGATGACGTGCGAGGTAGGTTCGACAGTTCGGTCCAAAGTGCCCGCGCCATTACTTGTTTTATTTATTTTTATATCTTTGTTTACCATTAGGTACGTGCCATTGTCAAATGTGTCGGGTGTCCAGTAGCTGACGAGTCCATCAGGCTGACCAAAGTTACCTGTCCTGTCCTCCCAAAATAATCTCGCCCCCTACTAGTTTCATCAATCATCAGGCTGCTGGACTGACCCACAGTCACCAGAAAACAGCATCGACAACTCGACGACGAGGTTGCGTTGCGCTGGTGGCCGGCGATGTCGTCGTCTGCGTGCGACAAGAAGAAGCTGAAGACGGCGTGCGTGACCGGAGGGAACGGCTACATCGGCTCCGCGCTCATCAAGGTGCTGCTGGAGGAGGGCTACGCCGTGAAGACGACGGTCAGGAACCCCGGTTCGGTTCTCCTTCTCCCCTCTTATCGGTTCAGTGTTTCGTTGTTGTTGCAATTCCGGGATTGCAGCTGCGCAGCAAATAAACGGCATCTTTAGAACTTCGGATTGCATAAAAATAGCACAAGAATTTCAACGATTTTATTTTGTTACTGAATTCTGATTTGATGGTTCAAGTTCAACAGCAAGCAAGCAATCCTCTAGGCGCACATATGCTTTTACTGCTGATGTGTCGCGGATAGATGGTGGTTGTGATGTGATTGTGATTTGTGAATCCCACCCACCCATGCTGTCCTGAGAATCGACCATGATTGGTTTCTGAATCCCAGATGACATGCAGAAGAACTCTCACCTCAAGGGATTGCAGGAGCTTGGACCGCTGACGGTCCTCCGCGCCGACATGGACGAAGAAGGCAGCTTCGACGACGCCGTCGCGGGCTGTGATTACGCCTTCCTCGTCGCCGCCCCGGTGAACCTCTGGGCAAAGGATCCAGAGGTGCGCAAACATCGCTACCACTCACCACACCACGAGTCGTCGTCGTTGTCACCTAACTGTCACTCACTCTCACTCTGACTCTATCCTACGACAACATCCCTTGTTTAGTTGTCTCTGGTCTTGCTCAATCGATGCCTCTTTTTCACTCCATCAGTTGGGTGATTTCAGAGAAAAAAGAACTGATTTTTAGCTTGCTTGCCAATGCACGATCGCAGAAAGAGCAGATTGAGTCGTCTGTCCGAGGAACGCTGAACGTAATGAGATCGTGCGTGAAGGCCGGGACGGTGCGGCGCGTGATCCTGACCTCGTCGGTGGCCGGAGTCTACATCAGGCCGGACCTGCAAGGCGACGGGCACGTGCTGGACGAGGACTCCTGGTCCGACGTCGACTACCTCAGAGCAAACAAGCCGCCAACCTGGGTCCGTCGCGCCGTCCGATGATTCTGCACCCAATCTTTTTTTTTTGACACACATTCTCCATCGTTACATGCACGGTTTTGATGATAACCTGTGGCTTGCTTGCAGGGATACTGCGTGTCAAAGGTGCTCCTGGAGAAGGAGGCGTGCAGGTTCGCGGACGAGCACGGCATCAGCCTCGTCACCGTCTGCCCCGTCCTCACCGTCGGCGCAGCGCCGGCACCCAAGGTCCGCACCAGCATCATCGACAGCCTCTCCATGCTGTCCGGTGAGTCAGTAGTCAGAGATCCTGCAGGCGTCAAACTACTGGATTCTCCGCTCTGTTAAAAAAAAGAGAGAGAAAAAACAATCGAGTTCGTGTGAATGTGATCGATCGATTGCGTGATCTTCAGGCGACGAGGCCGGGTTCGCCGTGCTCAGAGGCATCGAGACGACCTCCGGCGCGCTAACGCTGGTCCACATCGACGACCTCTGCCGCGCCGAGCTGTTCCTGGCAGAGGCGGACGCGGCTGACGGGAGGTACATCTGCTGCAGCCTCAACACGACCGTCGTCGAGCTCGCGCATTTCCTGGCACACAAGTACCCGCAATATGGCGTGAAGACAAATTTGTAAGCAATGGCCAGCCCCACTTCTGCGCAGTGGAAATGTTAAAGATGTTTGCAGCTCTGATTTTTGACACTTTATTTGCAGCGACGACGATGAGCAGCTCCTGGAGAGGCCGAGAGTGATCATGTCGTCGGAGAAGCTGGTCCGGGAAGGATTTCAGTACAGGCACAACACGCTGGATGAGATATACGACAACGTGGTTGAGTACGGCAAGGCATTAGGAATTCTGCACTACTGATATAGATGCCCGAACGTACTTAAAGTACAAGGGCAGTATGTATGTAGCACTCAATTCTTCATCGGACATATATGAGTGTTGGAAAGTGCCTAAAATAAGCTATGGGCACAATTTCCATTGGGAGAAAAATGTTCAAGGAACGCTGAACGTAATGCGATATGTTAAAAGTTTGTGAATAAATTTAGTACCTATACCTAATAAAAAAATGCTTATATATCTTTGCGTTATCGCCAAGTCGCTATTCATTTTTCAACACAATACCCACACGATAGTATGTGATGTCTGTTTGGTTGTGATCGATTTATCATTACTCTATATTTTTTCATCTCTATCTATATTTTTTTCTCGCTTTCATGGCACCTCTCCATATCATAAATATATGTTTAGTTACAATTTTAGCTTAAGGTCTTGTTTAGTTCCTCATCTAAAGTTTATTCCCTATCACATCGGATGTTTGTACACATGTATGGAATATTAAATATAGACTAAAAAATAACTAATTGTATAGATTGCAACTAATTTGCGAGACAAATTTTTAAGCCTAATTAGTCCATAGTTGCTACAGTAAATCTACAGTATGTATTGGTCAAACTATGCAATAAGTTAAAGATGTTTGCGTATTGCGAGACAACCATACATCTTGTCAATCCCTCCATTCCAAAAAAATGACATTACGGTTCGTATTGGTCAAACTTTTTTAAGTTTAACTGGATTTGTAGAAAATACTAGCAACATTGTATCTCCAAATAAATTTGGTCCATATGTTTAGAATTGTGTCCTTTGGTACACAATCAGTAGGTGTGATCATTCCCTACACTTTGTCCAATGTTTCAAAATATATAGTGCATAAGCAAGTTGATGTCCTTATTGTTCTGAAGCTTGGTTCTTTTTTCTGGAGTACTACAGGTTCACTTTCCTTTGGTTTGTACGTGTTCTGTCCAGGCTTGGATTCTCCAGCGAGAGGAACCGTGTCACTGCTCTGTTCTGCAGGTTGGCAGCATATCATCAGGCAAGTGGTGAAGTTGCTAGTCGGCATCAATATCAGCAAAAAATCGTCACTGCAAAGCTCTGAATTTCTGCTATAGGTTTGATTGTTCCATTCAGAGTTTTGTAGTTTATTTCAGAAGAATAGTTCAGCATGTTTTCTGCTCTTGTGATGTTAACTCTATAACCTGCAACTTATTTTGTTTAACTTTCTCTTGCTCTGATAGAGTTCGACAATAGCCCCTGTTTTTTGTTTCAGTTTCAGTAGCTACTGAAGTTTCTTATCCAGAGAGCACTTGTTATTGCCAATTGTTCTTCTGTTGGTGTTACCTACTTCTACTTGTCATGGATTGTATAGTAAGTTATAAGCTTAATAGATCATAGTGCATATTCACTATGATTCTGAAAAATCAAGTCAACGTGCAATAATGCCAATTACACTTCTGTTTTTAGCTATAACTTTTGAGCTTGCAATGAAGAAACATGACAGCAAATAGTTTTCTTTTTTACGTTCTGCAAATAGTCCAGACAACCTTTTTAACTTGCAAATTCCTACTAACAACAATACATATTTGGTCTAAATGAATCAGCATAGTAGAAAATTTGTTATTGCTTATTTGTTTTCTAGACTATGTTGGATATTTTCTTGATGGATGAAGTTTTTCTTACCAAAGATTGAATGGGCACTATAGCAAAATTGATTTCTTACTAAAGAAGATATGCATGTGTTGCAACCTAGGCATGATGAATAGTCATCCATATTTGGTGTGTAATGTCTTCGCTTGTTAGCTTTCCTTTCCCTAACTTTCTTGCTGTTGTTGCTTTCAGATCCACGGATTGAAAATGTTGCAAGACAACATCAAAGATTGGAGAACTATGCAGTTGTAGTTGTACTTGGAGTCTTAAACATTGAGTGTTAGTTTAGGTTTAATAATAATGGTCCTGTAACTTGTGCCTGTGGAAAAACATAACATATAAGTATACAACTAGTCTTTGCCTGTATGATGCTTAGATTTGGAAAGTAACAATTATTTGATTTATCTGAAATTGTGATAATTGTTTGAATGTGATTGATCTAAAGCTTTGTTGGGTCATGAAAGATTTTGTGATGATATAAATCTCTATATTAAATTGCCACATCAGATCCTAATCATTATCACATCATATGACAACAATATTTTATGACGTTCTGTTATCCTACGTGCCACCTGCATAGTCATCTAGGGTCAATGTTTTGCGATGTTTTGTCTGCTTCGTAACAACAAAAATCGAGCATCATAAATCAATAACACAAGTATGAACGTCGTAAAAATTACGACGATAATATTACTTTTGTCGCAGAACACCTTTAGCTACATGGAATAGGTGACGAATGCATTTTCGTCGTGCGTGCATCCCAAATTGTGCAACACGACAAATTTTTCACTTTCTACGACATAAATGCAACGTCATAGAAGGTCATATCTCTTGTAGATCTATCTAAAACTGTGGTAAGGCTTTGTGCTATTGATCTAAGCAGTTTGATTGATTACACTTTATTAGATTTTGTTTAATCTTGAAGTTAAGGTTTAATCAATTCTCGTCACCATCAGACGCAGCATGATTGTTATTTTTATATCTCGAGTTCTAGACCTCGATTGACATGATTCCAGTTGGGTCAGTTCAATAATTTCATCTACTTTGATCTGTAAAATGTTGAGGAGGCCAACGGTGTTTTGTCGAGATTATTTTTAGTAAGGGTGTAGTGTTCTGCACAGAACTTTAAAATAAGGTATAATTTGGTTTTGTGTTTAGGGTGAAGTTTTAAAATTAGTTTTTGGTTTCTGCAATCATTCACCCCCTTTGACTGCCTATCTAAGTGTGAATTGATCCTACGCATATCGATGTTGGAAACTGATGTGAGCCACCGGGCCTTAGCTTCCTTTCTGAAACATGCATGGCAGCGAAGATGCTATGTGCTTGAAGTGCTGTCCTCAACTTCCCCAAGTGTAGGGTTGAAGATGTTGTGTCTTGTGTGCTTGGAGGATTCTCGAGTATATCGGTTGCATGCCGGAAGTCCAAAATGTAGCAGCGGAGTTTGGTAGCGGTGGTCAGTGGTGGAGGTTCACTCCAGCCGAAGGTATTGGCAGGTTTGAAACCTTCGTAGACAGATTTGAGATTAGAGACCTTGGGATGAAATGAAAACCAGAAGCAAGGCCTTTGGAGTATCGGTAATGCTGTGTCTCGGGCGTCCAAACAGACACCCGAGACCGGACACCTCTGCGACGTCCCCCACACTCCCATGCCCTCCTCCCCGACAGGGCTCCTCCCTCCCTCCCTGCCCCCTCCCTCCCTCCCTCCCTCCCTCCGCGAGCTCCCCGGCGACCCCGCGCCCACTCCCGAAGACGATGACGACGGCGAAGACGAAGATGACGGCGGCGGCGGTGGCTCCAATGAGGTAGACCGGTTCGTCCTCCTCCTGGATCTGAGCCCACTGGAGATGAAGACGACGACGGCGGTGGCTAGGGTTTCGGCGAGCCTCTACTCCTCTTTCTTCTCCAACTCCAACGGCTATAGAAGGGGCCGGCCGGGGGGAGGTAGGCAGGCCAAGCGGTGAGGATGGTGGTCGGGCGGTTTAGGGGCCCTGGCGGCGGTAGCGTGGCGGCCGGGCCTAGTCGGGGCGGGGGAGTTTCGCCGGAGTTAGAGAAGATGATGGCGGCCGAGCTCACCGGAGTTGGAGAAGAACATGTAATAGGGTTGCTAATGGTTTAGCCTTCCATGGAGCGTGTGTTTTGGCCCCTCTATGTTTTTTAGTCAAGCTCCTGATTTTGTAACTAACTTGGTTTCTGGTGATTTGCCTGGACATGTTTGTTAGTGGAATCGAGGATTCGCATAAAAAAATAAACTAAGTTTTATCCCTATGTTGTGGTTGGTGACAAGTTTATTTAGGTTTTCTCAGGTACTTTAGAATACATGTTTACATGTTGCTAATCATGCTTATATATGAGAAACATAAGGGTGCAATTAGTTTTTTTAATTAATGCAATTAATTAATTAGTTAATTTAGGTACTTCGTCTATTAACTATAGTTTTTTGTAACATAGTAAATATTTTTCATTCACTTAGCAGACATTGGCAGTTTTTAATTTCCAGATCGCTGGTCATGCATGACTGCTGGCGCGACCAGGTGTGCCAGAGCTGGTACTGTCCTTCAGCGTGTTTTTTCTCGAGAGGTGACATAAAAGTCGACGGCGTGCTACATAGGTTGTTGGACCGTTCGATGCAAAGTACCTGAGAAAGTATGTGCATCATATCAAAGTGGACGACGTGCTACATATGTTGTTGGACCGTTCGATCCGAAGTACTCACCGATCGACAGCCTTTTCGTCGATCAGGCTGATCAAATTTACCAGTCCTCTCAAATCTCGCCCCAAACTATATAAAATCTCGCCCCAAACTATATATATATATAGCTACTAGTCCTAGCAAACTAATTTCATCAATCATCAGGCTGCTGTACTGACCGACAGTCACCGGCAAGCAGCATCGACAACTCGACGACGAGGGAGCGTTGCGTTGATGGCCGGCGATATGTCGTCGTCCGCAGGCGACAACAACAAGAAGACCGCGTGCGTGACTGGAGGGAGCGGGTACATCGGTTCCGCACTCATCAAGTTGCTGCTGGAGGAGGGCTATGCCGTGAAGACGACGGTCAGGAACCCCGGTTCGATTCTCCCCTCTTTTCGGTTCAGTGTTTCGTGGTTGTTGCTGTTCCGGGCTGTGCAGGTAACGGCACGGCACCTTTATTGGAACTTCGGAGTGCTTAAAAATATCACAAGGATTTCAACGGTTTTACTACTGAATTCTGATTGGGTGGCTTCTGATTTTTTTTTTAAAAAAACGAGGTTTCTGATTTTATGGTTCAACAGCAATAAAGAAATCCTAGAATATGGTATTTGAGGCTTTTGAGCTAGGCGCACAAATGCTTTTACTGTTGCAGATAGATGGTGGTGGTTGTGATGTAATTGTGAATCCCACCACGGTCCTACCCATGCTTAGAATTGACCTTGATTTGGTTTGTTTTTTATTCCCTGAAACCCCAGATGACATGCAGAAGAACTCCCACCTCAAGGACTTGCAGCAGCTTGGACCGCTGACGGTCTTCCGCGCCGACATGGACGAAGAAGACAGCTTCGACGACGCCGTCGCCGGCTGCGATTACGTCTTCCTCGTCGCCGCCCCGCTGAACTTCTCGGCACAGGATCCAGAGGTGCGCAAACATCGTCACCACTCACCACACCACGAGTCGTCGTTGTCACATAACCGGCACTCACTCTGACTCTGTCCTACATACGACAACATCCCCTGTGTCGATCTCAATCGATACCTCTTTTTCATTCCAATCATCAGTTCGGTGGTTTCAGAAAGAACTGACTTTTTGGCCTGCTTGCCGATGCCCGATGGCAGAAAGAGCAGATCGAGCCGGCCGTCCGAGGAACGCTGAACGCAATGAGGTCGTGCGTGAAGGCCGGGACGGTGCGGCGCGTGATCCTGACCTCGTCGGTGGCCGCAGTCATCAGGCCGGACCTGCAAGGCGACGGGCATGGGCATGTGCTGGACGAGAACTCATGGTCCGACGTCGAGTACCTCAGAGCCAACAAGCCACCAACCTGGGTCCGCCGTCCGATGATTCTGCACCCATTCTCCATCGATGCTACTACCTATTTTCTTCTGTCGGCCATTGCTAGGTCAGTTTGATGGTGACCTGTATTGCTTGCTTGCAGGCACACTGCGTGTCCAAGGTGCTCCTGGAGAAGGAAGCGTGCAGGTTCGCGGAGGAGCACGGCATCAGCCTGGTCACCGTCTGCCCCGTCATCGTCGTGGGCGCGGCGCCGGCACCCAAGGCCCGCTCGAGCATCGTCGACTGCCTCTCCTTGCTGTCCGGTGAGTCAGTCAAGATCCTGCGGCTGCCAAACTAATTCTTCGCTTTTTAATAATTAAAAAGAAAAAAAAACAATAGAGTTTGCGTGGATGATCGATCGATTGCTGATCTTCAGGCGACTAGGCAGGGCTCGCCATGCTCAAAGGCATCCAGAAGTCCTCCGGCGAGGTGCAGCTGGTCCACGTCGACGACCTCTGCCGCGCCGAGCTGTTCCTCGCAGAGGCGGCGGCGGCCAATGGGAGGTACATTTGCAGCAGCCTCAACCCGACCCTCGTCGAGCTCGCGCGTTTCCTGGCACAGAAGTACCCGCAGTACGGCGTGAAAACAAATTTGTAAGCAACGGCAACGGCAACGGCCGGCCTCAATTCCGCGCTGTGGATATATTATATATGTTTGCAGGGGTTTCCAGCTCTGATTTTTGACACTTTATTTGCAGCGACGACGACGAGGAGAGGCCAAGAGTGAGCGTGTCGTCGGAGAAGCTGGTCCGGGAAGGGTTTCAGTACAGGCACAACACCCTGGATGAGATATACGACAACGTGGTCGAGTACGGCAAGGCATTAGGAATTCTGCCCTACTGATGATATATATAGATGCCCGAGCTTAAATAAAATAAATGGGCAGTGTGTTATGTAGCAGTCGGGCAAGTACTTTAAATAAGTTATATGGACATTTTCTATTGGGAAAAAAATGTTCAAGGAACGCTGAACGTAATGAGATACCTGCACCTAATAAAAAAAATGCTTATATATACCTTTGCGTTCTCGCTATTCATTTTTCAACACAATATCTACCCACGATAGAATGTGATGTCTGTTTGGTTGTGATCGATTTATCATTACTCTATATTTTTCATCTCTATCTATACTTTTTCTCGCTTTCATGGCACCTCTCCTTATCTTGAATATATGTTTAGTTGAAATTTTAGCTTAAGTTATATTAACACTTGGCAAGTGTGTCGTGTTATTATGAATCTAGATTTTTGGCTTTCAAATTTGTATCTTATCTTTCAAAAAAAATTGTATCTTATTAGTGCCTACAATTTTTACTTATACTTTAAGTTGAAAACTCTGGTGTCTATTGTAACTTTTTAATCAAAACTTTTCTTTTGTATTATATCAAAATCGATTCTAGGTTCCCAATGCACCTTTTGTTACTACAGTGCCATAAACAATAGTTTTGAATTTTCTCCACTAAAGATCTTTTTTGTGTATTATTATTATTCTAATAAAAACACAATTCTTACAATTAAATTACATGTAGTACGTTACAATGTTTCAACAAAATGTAAAAATTATCTTAAATAATATAACAACTTACATAATGTCTTGTCATACAGTATGCTACTATTAGTAATTAGAGGCTCCATCTAAGAGGTGCTCTAGAAAAGATAAATCGCTATTGATAATAACATCTACTTGATTTATTCTATTTTTATGTAAATAATTTACCCAAATTTGTCATTATGAAAATATAAATTAATCCCAAAATATGCATCTAAATTACCTACCATTGCCATTAAAAACACAATCAAAAGTAACACCTAAATTTTGATTTAAATTAGCATCGCAATTATGATAGATAATCTAAGTAACTCATCAAATTATAATCAAAATTACACACTTCTATCATCACTAAAAATAAGCTAACATGTTTGTTCAAACGTCCCTAAAGTCTCTATAACGCCCCAGAGTCCAAACGGCTCAGATCCACTCTCCACGCTAAGCGAACCACACCTAGCACCATCCCACTTATGCTTTTGTCATCGCGTCGCGTAAAAGGGTTAACCGGGGATGGTGGAATGGATTCTAGAAGCCTTATATGTTGGTCTAACCTACTCTAAACAACCAAGGAAGGACTAGCCCCAAAATATCTCATTAACATGCACATGGCCCACTACAGGCCAAATTCCAAATTGGGCTGGATGTGACAGTCTCCAACTGAAATATGAATAGTATGTATAAATAACCATAAATTACATATATACTTGTTTCTAAACTACCCACTTATATATGTATTAGTATAATACAAAACCAATAATATAAACCATAATTGCGCTTGTTTCTAACTACTCACTTATTGCATATGCATAGTTGATGCTTCTATATATATATGGTTTCTAAACCCTGTATTATTAGTCACATCTATCTATAGTTTTTGCTAATAAAAAAATATTATTAGTCACATGTGCAATTATGGTTTATGTTATTGCTAATGAATGCATATATATAAATCAAAATAACCCTAAATTATTTTTGCTAATGAATGAATAATATACTTGATATGCATATACATCTCTATTTATAGGGTTACTTTAGATCACCTTTCATAATTGCACATGTGGCTAATTTAGATGTAGAATTATAAATTATTTTACATTATTTTTATAATAGCAAATTTGAGTAGTTTTATTAGAAAATACAATATATTAAATGGCCATTACTTAGTTATGCATATTCGATGTGAGCAATTTTATGGCGAGCAAAGATCTATCTGTCAAAATCATAGAAAACCAATTGGCAACCATACATCTCGTCTACTCCCTCCGTTCCAAAAATGACATTACGGTTGCATATCGGTCAAACTTTTTTAAGTTTGATTGGATTTGTAGAAAATACTAGCAACATTTGTATTTTTAAATAAATTTATTATTAAAATATATTCGACAATTTATCTAATGCTACTAATTATGCACTATAAATATTCATATTTTTTATATATTTGGTTAAAGATGTAAATGTTTGACTTCTCGGTAGGTAAGTGAGGTGAGAATGACATTTTTTTATGAGACAGTAAGTATTTCTTAGGTGACGGCACGTGCCACTAGCTATAGTAGTACTAGTTATCACTGTCACCATTAAATCGATCAATACTAGCTACACCCGCTTACCACATCATCTTTTTTTATTTAGTGCTCATATTTTCTCGAAGTAGCCCAAATTAGTTTTTTATTTTTACCATACAATTTTATCATCTTAGCATCGCTACCAACTTTGTAAAAATATCATCATGCTTCTGTTAGTCGTCGGAAGCACCGTCGAGGTGTCAGGTGAGCGGTGAAGTCGTCGGTTGGTGACAAGAAGAAATGGCGAGCACTGTCACCAATTCACCAATAAGTACATCTATAGATGCATTGTTACAAATTCAGCAATAAGTACATCTATATAGATGCATTATGGATATATATTATTTTTAAATTTTAAAAATAGTAAAAATACGTTGTCAGTCTCTAAACTTAGGAGGGGTGTTATCTAGGTCCTAAACTTCCAATTTTTGATTTGTGGGTCTCTAGACTTGTCCTATGCTTCAACAAAAGTCCAAACGGGTTTCGACCCACTCCATACGCTCATGTGGATCTGACATGTTTAAGTTAGTATCTTAACTTGTACGATAGCGTCATCTAGGTCCCAAACTTACGACATTGCATATCTAGGTTTTCAAGCTTGCTAAACGGGCCACAAGAGGTACCTAAACTTGCATGACAACGCCTTAAGTCCACAACTTCCAAAACTATAGATTTATATCTCTGAACCTGCTAAACTTGCATGTAAGTTGTCTTTGCCCACTACTTTCCGATTTACCCATTTTATCGTGTAATTATTCATGATCTAAACCTGATCATCCACAAAGAGTAATATTTGACCTTTGTTAATATAGTTAGTCACTATGCCAGATTTTCACATTAGCGACTCGTCTATATAGTCATTAGTGACGCAAAAAACACTTCACTTATATTACGTCTCTGATGTGAAAACATTAGTGACGCATAAAAACGTGTCACTGATGACCCTGTACCAGCGACGGGTACAAGGAAAACGCATCACTGATGACCCTGTACCAGCGACGGGTACAGGTAAAAGTGTCACTGATGAGGTCCCACTAGAGATCCATTTTTGCTATACGCGTTTCTAATGACAATTTACATAAACAAAAAAAAAATCTCCACGGTCTTTATATACAGCAGACCCTGTCCAACATCAAAATAACAAACAAGCCCACACGTCTATAGGCTCAACAATAATGATCACAGACCAAGTTAAAGGTTACATTAAGACCAAACTTAAACAACAACTCAATTCAATAGTTCACAGATAACAAGCTAAGACCACGGGAACATAATATTGGCTCCAACCGTTGACTAAAGGTGATGAATACACCTTTGATTGATCGTATGTTACAATCTCCTGCCCTCTTAATTGACAACTTCAAGAATAACCAGTCGAGTAACTTGCATACCTTCCTTTTGTACATGAAACTTTGAAAGATGACAAGGAACAATATCCCATACACCTGATCAGTAAGAGAACAGTTGAAAATTCAATAAATACATGAAAACTTGAAGGCATATCCTCTAGATAGAAAACCAAGATAGTGCACTAGCCCAAAGCAATGATAACTTCATGATCAGCAGGAACATACATGAACAAAAGCTGAAAATCCTGTTTTCCTAAAGCAGAAATCAGTACCTTGCCTAATGGACGGTTTCACAACCATTCATGATTGGCTGGTACCCATGCTGCCACAAAATCCTCATATCAGCTCAGCTGCAGTATATTGGCAAGCATGATCACACAAATCAAAAGCTCAAAAGGTGCATCTGCAATTAGAAATATGCCTAACAGGAAGCAAGGAAGCCTAAGGGGTGGAGTTTAGAACACACTTTTGACAGTCTAAAATAAATATATTACTAGAAGATAGATTAATGGAGTTCTGCAAATCCACTTTCAAATGGAACAAAGAGTGAATACTAGCATTTCTTAAGAATAGAAGAACTGTATCTGATCAAGAATATATATTCAGTTTCTATCACATAACTTGTTTATTTACTAGTGAGAAACAAGAGAAAAGGATACTGCAACGACATGGAGATGGATCAACCTATTTACACATACTACATACACATGGGAGCAAAAATGGCTGGTGTATGTTCAGAGCTATTATTATTATTTCATCAGTGAACAACTTATGTCCTGATCATAACACACTCAATATCTAAAAGGAT